TTCCGATGGTCTTAGGCGACCCCTGTGAAAGGGTCATTCGACCCCCAAAGGGGTCGCGACCCACAGGTTGAGAACCGCTGCCTTAGATGATCCTTTCCAAGATTTCAAGGTGGCTGGCCAGCCGTCAGACTTGGAGAAGGGACTGCCCACTGCCACACACCAGGGACCGGACAATGGAAGCCTCGGGAAGGGGAGATTCCCTATCTCTGGTTCTGCCTGGCTGGGCTGTCGGGGGGTATGACATACGTGTTATGAAATATCCTCAGACTGCCTGCCTCTCTGAGAACTGCATGACCCTTCAGGGGGTCCCCTTTAGACATGCATGACCTTTTTGCAGGTTGTTTTCATGACGGGATGAGCAAACAAAAGAGTCACATGGTTATCAGAGAAGTGGCCGGGCCTAACTCTTCCCTTCACAGGTGAGAGACAGTGGGGGCCAGAGACGTTGGGGTTCACCTTCAGTGCCAGCCTGGTGTCCAGGTCCCCAGCCCCAGGTGCCCTCACCCTGAGCGACAGACACTGCTCTCCTCCCTCGTGGCCCTGGGAGAAAGCGCCCCTCCTCGATCCTGGGAGACACGGGGCAGTGGCTGCCTGGCCGGGGTGTCCGTTGGAGTCGTGTTGGCAAATAGTTTTTCTCTTTTTTGCTGCACGCCGCCGGGAACTTTTAAAAACCCACAGGCCAAGCCAGAGCGCCTCCTGTTTCAGCAAAGCCCTGTGGTTTCCATCTTCCCTCTGGTGAGGGATGGGCGGGCAGGTGGGAATGACCGGTCCCTCGCTCTCACAGACAGTTCCCCACAATGCATCACAAGCTACCATGAAGGGTCTAGGCCCGTGGTCGGCAAACTGCGGTTCGCGAGCCACATGCGGCTCTTCAGCCCCTTGAGTGTGGCTCTTGCACAAAATACCACGTGTGGGTGCGCATGTACAGTGCGATTGAAACTTCATGGCCCATGCGCAGAAGTCAGTATTTTGTGGAAGAGCCACACTCAAGGGGCCAAAGAGCCGCATGTGGCTCACGAGCCGCACTTTGCCGAGCTGCAGTTTGCCGACCACTGGTCTAGGCGGCTGGTCTGATGAGCCTCTTTGGGATATTTCAGGCTGAACTGAATAAGCTGCACACACTGCAGCGTGAAGGATACTTAACACGCTTAATAAATAACACGCGATTCCCATGGTTTCCTACGTACGTGTGTCTATCAATAAACAATGCACTGCGCAGGAAATCGGAAACGCTAAGACTTCAGATCAGACGCCAACATATTTATAAGGAGGTTTCCAATAGATGAGGAACCACAGGCTTGACCGCTTGGGGAGTTCAACTAAAAAGGCTAATGGAATTTCCGAAGCGGCCTTAGCGTTTTCGAGCTGATGGCTTGGGGGTTCATGTTTCCCGCTCATGGCCCAGGCCGGCGGTAAGCATATGGGACACTCACCTGCGACAGGAGCGTCTGCAGAGCCAGGAGGCGGCCTTGACTCGCCGCTTCGTGCAGAGGGGAGCGGTCTGCCCAGGAACCTGTGGAAGAGAGGGAACACAGGTCTGAGTCCAGGTGAGCCCTCCTAGGACCCGCCCCGGAGAAACAGGGACCCCAGATCCAGGGCTCCTGTGGGGACCGGGACACGTATCCCTCCCTCAGGAAATTGGGAGTCTCTACAGCAGCAGTTCTCAACCTGTGGGTCGCGACCCCTTTGGGGGTCGAACGACCCTTTCACAGGGGTCGCCTAAGACCATCGGAAAACACATATATAATTACATACTGTTTTTGTGATTAATCACCATGCTTTCATTATGTTCAATTTGTAACAATGAATATAGATCCTGCATATCAGATATTTACATGATGATTCATAACAGTTGCAAAATTACAGTTATGAAGTAGCAAAGAAAATAATTTTGTGGTTGGGGGTCACCACAACATGAGGAGCTGTGTTAAAGGGTTGAGGCATTGGGAAGGTTGAGAACCACTGCTCTACAGGATCCTGACTGGCTGACCCCAAATCCCTCACCTTTGGCATTCTCTCCTTCAAAGACTAGGGGGTTTCAGGTCACGAGATTTGCCACCAAAACCAAAAACTGAAAAACCACCTCTGTCTCCTGGTTGTCCAGACAGAACCCCCAGATGCTGTTTTTGGCACTTTGAGCCGAGAATTGGCTGGACAAGCCACCTCTCCACGCCCTTCCCACCCCCACCCTGCTGTTCCCCTGCCCTGAGGTGTGAGGGGCTGCAACAAATGAAATTCATGTTATTTACACAACAAATGACTTTACAGTCAATTCTAGTGCAATTTAAATGGTCCCCTGGCTGCTCGTCAGACACGCATCTCAGGCAGAGCACGTCTGCAGCCTGTGCCAGCGGAGGGGTCAGGAAAGCGATTGGAAGCTTGGGAGGGCGTGTCCGTTAGACGCCTCCGCATCGTCCTTCGGAAAAGTCCACGGACGCCGGTGCTTCTGTGTGCTGGTTCTGCAGTAGACCTGCCCACACCCTAAGTGAGGTCCAAACAGCTCCACTGCATAAGACTCCACTGAATACCACAGGGTGACGGAGTGGCCCAGCGAACCTGCTCTAGACACACGAGTCCACTGCCAATCACCAGCCTTTTCATAACCGGTGATACTTGGGGTTTTATTACAAACACTGCTCCTAATGGGGAGGGAAGAGCCTTTCTTCTACGCACTGGCATTGATTTGTGACTAATGGTAATGACAGCTAACGCTGAATAGTGTTCCCCACGCGAATGCGCTCGTCGAAGCACTGCGTACGGCCTCTCATTTAGGTCTCACTGCTCTGTCAGGTGGATGCAATGATTGTTTCTAACTGAAAGGTGCGGAGCTGGGAGCTAGAAGAAAGGAAATCACTTAGAGGGAGTCACATGGTCTTCCTCCCGAGCTGATCTAGTTAGACCAGCCGTGGGCAAACTACGGCCCGCGGGGCCGGCCCCGGCCCGTTGGAAAGGATAAAAATAAAAAAAAAAAAAAAAAAAAAAAAAAAAAAAAGACCGTACCCTTTTATGTAATGATATTTACTTTGAATTTATATTAGTTCACACACACACTCCATCCATGCTTTTGTTCCGGCCCTCCGGTCCAGTTTAAGAACCCACTGTGGCCCTCGAGTCAAAAAGTTTGCCCACCCCTGAGTTAGACACCACCCTTGCTATCTTGGTTTTCCTTTCCGTCTAGCATTATTTCCTGCTCATCCAAGATTACTAAGCCAGACATCCGATTCCTTGAGTTTTCAACGGAAAGCAAGTCACTGTTATTAGCTTTTGTGTATTATTTCTTTCCACATGCAACACTCCTGTTATACATTAGAAGCAGGGTTGAAATAAATATTGCACACCCATAACTATCCATTGATAGGACAAACGTTGGTGGCGAGATAATAACTTATAAGAAATTGGAGCATTGTATTCTCACTACCTGCATTGCAAAAGTCTCCATTGGAAATAATATCATTTTCGGGAACACGTTTCGAGTTCTAGGTTTTAAATTGAAATCTGAATCTTTGCAAATCATACACATCCTTAAACAACTTGATTGAGGAGTGAAACTCTGGAGGACTTTGGAACATATGCCCATTCTCACTGTGAACATTTAAATAAGAAAATGATAGCCCGGCCAGTGTGGCTCAGTGATTGAGCGTCAACCCATGAACCAAGAGGTCACGGTTCAATTCCCCATCACGGCACACACCCATGTTGCAAGCTGGATCCCTAGTAGGGGGCGTGCAGGAGGCAGCCAATCAATGATTCTCTCATTGATGTTTCTCTCTCTCCCTCTCCCTTCCTCTCTGAAATCAATAAAAACATATGTTTTAAAAAAGAAAATTATAATATTCACTTTCCAGAGAGATTGCATATGTGTGAAGCCACAATGTTCAGTTTATTCATCAGAGCAGCAGTCAATTAATAAGGCGTTGAGTATTCAACATTTAATGATAAGCTATAATATTTATAAGAATCATGTGTGCCCTTCTGCTTAGGGGCTTAGTGGAGTTCATTACCCTTAGCTTATCTCTAAAAGCTGTGCTGAATTAAATGAGGCCCATTGGCTAGCATTAAGCGATCTTCCCTCATCATTAGCTACCACGGCAATTAACCAGATGCCGGGGTAGGAAAGCCGAGAAATGGCCTTTTGGGATTCATTCTGGACTCACATTGTTCAGGTAGATTATGAGACCTTCAAGGGGCAGCAACAATATGTGCAGCTATGAGGAACCTGATATTCCTCTTGTGCACACTATTGTGTTTGTCCATCAAAATGATTTGGTTGCCCTCTGACCCATCTGAACATTGCTTGCTGGTGTTCACCAGAGAAAACAGAAAAAGAAAAAGAAGGAAATGGGTCATTTAGAAAATAGGCTACATAAGGACCAAATAGAGAATAAAGTATCTGAGTTTCCCACCTATATCCCAACCCCAGGCCTCCCTCCCAGGACTGTCACATACCTTGCTGTCCCACTCTATTATTTTTTTTAAGTCCATTACGGTAGAGAGAAAAAATGCTGACGCCAGATCTGACTTATGTGTATTTGCTATCATTTCTACTAATATGACCTCCATTTGGCATGAAAAGGGAGTTAAATGTCACAGTAATCTGCTGGAAGTGTAGGCAGGTGGTCTGAGACAAAACCACCAAAAACACAGCATGTAGGACGAGGGACCAGTTGGCCCACCAGGCAGGGACCACGCTTAGAAGAAATAACTGCCAGGTTAGTATTTTCCAGCTGAGCTCAGCTCTGCTCACTGCCTGGGACCCCTGCTGCCTGTTATTATTGCTTCCAGCAGGGGGCAAGCAAGAGCAGGAGGAGGACAGATGGAAATGGAGACCCAGAGGAAGTGAGAAACCAGGTGGGGTGCAGAGCCCAGAAGCTCCCAGAGGAAACGGTGGCCTCCATGCAGCCATCTGATGTGAGGGCCAGTGTCCTCATCAAATGGGAAAGCATCGCCTGTGGGGCAGGACACGGAGGTCAGGAGCGAGCCTCTAGGGCAGGGGTCCTCAAACTTTTTAAATGGGGGGCCAGTTCACTGTCCCTCAGACCGCTGGAGGGCCGGACTATAGTTTTAAAAAAAACTGTGAACAAATTCCTATGCACACTGCACATGTCTTATTTTGAAGTAAAAAAAACAAAACGGGAACAAATACAATATTTGTACTTGCATGTGGCCCGCGGCCGTAGTTTGAGGACCCCTGCTCTGGGGCCTGGTCTATAAATGCACAGTAAACAACACTGAGCATCTGCTCCACAAGACCGACAGACCGGGTAGATTCCAACGTGAGCTTCAGGGAGTGATCCTTCTTCTCCAAAAGTAAGGAAACTCATGCCATAAATAACAGCATCTACTTTTTAAATATATTTCTATTCATTTCAGAGAGGAAGGGAGAGGGAGAGAGAGATAGAAACATCAATGATGAGAGAGAATCATTGATTGGCTGTCTCCTGAATGTCCCCCATCTCCCCTACTGGGGACCAAGCATGCAACCCAGGCATGTGCCCTTGACTGAATCGAACCTGGGCCCCTTCAGTCCACAGGCCAACACTCAATCCATTGAGCCAAACCAGCTAGGGCAATAACAGCATCTATTGACTGAAATGATTTTCAATGTTATCAACTTAATTAAAGACACTATATGAAGCAACAGCATGACTCATGAAGGTATTTAAGCTAGCAATCAACAATGGCTGCTACATTTTCTCTCCGGTAAGCTGTGAGAAATAAAGCTGTACCAATCTATTAAAGTAGTTTACAGTATACACATGCTGTTCAGTGAAAAACAAAACACATTTCTTTTTTGTTTAAATTCTGCTGACCTAACTCCCCAACAACCACCCCTCATTTGTTTCCTTGTAAGTCCTTAGAAGAATTTCTGCAATTAATCTGGACAGAGGTGAGAATCAAAGGGACTATATCATGTTCCAGTTTCTGTTTTAAACTCGGTCTTCCCCCCTCCCCATTTCTCCTCTCCAGAGCCTGAAATTTAGCACTTTTCTAGTCAAATGAGCTCAATACTATCTCACCATCCAATACAAATATGCTTCCTACTAGAGAGGTTTGCAAGCTTTCTTAAGACCCAACAAAATAAAATATCTTCACACAGAACCCTTCAATCACTTTACAGCCTTGTTGGACTTCAATTCGGAATCTGAGATTTTTTTTAAGAACGTCCAATTTAACTCTTTGGGATAATTCAGTGTGAATTATTCAGTGTGAAAATCATTTTTACAGAATAGCTGTAAGTTTCAGCACTCTAATCAAATGCCTGCTGGCACAGCCTCCCTGTCGCTACACAGGAGGTGACTCAGAATATATTTAGAAACGACACGAGTTCCCAGACATCTGGTATTTAATTTGCAGGGAGCGAGCCTGCCCTGATGGGTAAACATCACAACACCAGAGCAGCAACATTCCCATCCTGAGACACATACAGTCTGAGGGGCTGCACCCACCTAAGTCGCCGTCTCCCCAGGGCACCTCAAGCCAGCCACTCTCGAGGTAAATCCGACTCATAGCTCC